AAGGTAAATTTGCACCCATAAAATGCCAACAGGGCATCCGTAGCTCAAACAGAAATGATTTTTAGATTGTCTGCTACTTTAAAATAAGTCACATCTTGGCTTCTCTCTGCTGCTGACCAAACCATTCTGGCCCTATGTCTAGCCTTCTTCACCCAGGGTGTCCATCAGCGTTTCCCCACTGAAACCACAATCTCCACAAATCTGCTGAGCAGAAAATGCCCAGTCTGCTATCAGACCGTGAACTCTGCAGGCAGGAAGAGTGCCGGCCCCTTCCAGAGTAAACCATGCAGTTCCCCACACAGCAGGCACCCAACTAATGGTAAAGGATAGAGGGTGGTGTGGAGGGTCCTTGGCACATCCATCAGAGGCCTGACTACTAAGGGACAGAGACGTGAACCCCGGGCCTCTTAGCCCACCCCTCTCCCATCTTGATGGGCAAGGGGAAAAACACACAAGCCACTTCGTTTTCTAAGAAGATGCTGTATTTAACAATTTCCTTCCCCCCATCCCACTCCCTCCCCCCACCCGACACATTTCCCTACAGAGCAGGGGCCTACCAGGCCCTCCCCTTAAGGCAGATGGTGTGGAGGTAACAAAGTCAAACACAAGGCACTGGCCAGGGTCAGAGAGGTGTGCGAGCAGGGCCTAGGAGGCTAGGCTCGCTCCCGTCATCAAAAGAATGGAAGTTGGAGAGCTCTTTGGGTTGGCTCAGGCCTTCCAGTGCCATGCCCAAGGGTGACCCTGGCCCCAGAGAGAAAGCTGGCACCCCAGCCAGCCAACCATAGCTCTCACCGACTCCCTGAAGTCCTTTCCCAAAGGCAGTAAGCCTGAGCGGGCTCTGAGAAAACCCATAGCCCAGGGGGCAGCTATGGCATCCAACAGCCACAGCCTATTAATTGGAAACTCTTTGTTCTTCCTGATTTCTTAGAGAGGGGCAGGGAATTCTCTTCAACCTCCAGAAGGTTCTCAACGGGCCCCAATCTCCTAGATGCCAAGCATGTGCCCTTGGTGAATGCAAGGCCCACCGGGTAGACCCTGCAACTCCAAATGCTGTGACTTGGACTCTATCACAGCACAGCTCTGTGGGGCTCCGCTGACTGGCATCCTGGGCCCTGTTGCACCAGCTAGGAGTGCTTCCTCCCAGCAGCAGCAAGCTCTGCGTTCCCCTCCCTAAGCAGACACTGAAGTTCCACAGCAAGTGTCCGACACACCCACACACCGTTCATCAATTCAGCAGCAGCGGCAGAGGCAGCAGCGGCGGCAAAAAAAAAAAAACCCAGCCCCAAAGACCCCAGGGAATTTTTAGTGCAAGAGAAGTGTGTGATCATCAGGTGCCAGAAAGGGTCGCTTCACTTTTCGGTTCCTCTGGGCCCCACTCCCCTCCAACTGGGGAAGAGATCACAGGGTGATGCCCTTACCTCCCCCAACCCGTGGCCTTGCCCCTTACTACCCTGATCCCTGTTCCTCTGTCTTGCCCACACCCCTTCCTCTTCTTCCAAGCAAGGCCAGGGCTGGGGATCCCCCTGCAGGAGGGCAAGGCTGTGGGGGAGCAGAGCTGTGGGGACTCAGGATTTCCACTTCCTTTTCCTCCCATCCTGCTGGATGCCCACCTCCTCTTCGCATCTGAGTCCACGGCTTACATTCCCATCCTCTTTCCTCTCTGCTCATGGTCTCCCCAAGGCTTATGCTTACAGGCAGGTCGGGAAAGGGGCTTCTCTTCCTGCCTTCTCCACCCACCTTGCCCGTCCTGCACGGCCTGTATGCCAGATGCCGAGGAATGAAAGCCCGCTGTCCACCCGTTCTCAGAATCCCAACCCCACTGGGGCACCGTGAGGATGATGCCACTTCTGTGTTCTTGTCAGTCTGAAGTTAGCACCGCCTGGGGGGTAAGGTTAATGCCCTAATCAGTGGCCAGCTGTTCAGTGGCTACCTGGGAGAGATGTGCGTGTCTCTGGAAGGCACGAGCCTGGGGTAGAGCTGAGAACTCCTCTGGTTATAAATCAGCTGCCGGGTCAAGGACCAAGGGACACATCGCTACACAGGAGTGGGTCTGAGGTATGCAAGTGGGGAATGTACCCTAAATGCACGACTCCATCCCTCTCTCACAGTCAGTGCTGGGTCTGGACAGTTAGTTTTGGTTTTCTGTTAGAAAAATAAAAACCCCAATGAAGTATGTCCAAGAGAAGAGTTTCCAGGGCACGGTCACTACTCCCTGGGAGGAGCGTGGGTGGATGCTGGAATGCACCTCACAGATAGGTTGGCATTGCTCCAACAGGTCTTTCCTTCCTTAACTGTGCTGCCTTCCCCGGGAGCCGGTCCATCTCTGTCAACTGAGTGCACGGCCCCTCCTGGTCCCTCTCTCAAGGTCCTCCCTTCAGAGGCCCCGAGGGTAGAGAGACGGGCCTCAGCAGCTGTCTGTGTGAGGCGACAGCTCTCGGGGGAGTGAGGGTGTTAGCTCTGAGGCCTCTTGGGGCCCGGCCATGGCTTCTGCTCCCCTTCCCTCTCCTTCTCAACAGTGAGTAGGGGCATTGGGGAGCGAGCACAAGTCAAGGAGCAGGAAGCAGTCAGTCCAGTGGGCCACCCTTCGGGATCACGGCATCTTCATCTGGCGGCGGTTCCACATGCCTCGCTTGGAATGGAAGTGATGGAAGAAATTCCTGAGGGAGAGACGTTCCACTTCCAGGCCTGCTTGGAGGATCCTGAGTAGGGGAGGGGCAGGGTGAGAAACAGAAGCGCAAGAGGCAGCTGGGGAGAGGCCCAGGCCCCTGAAGATCCCGCCCTCCCGCATCTATACATCTATGTCAGACCCTGTCTCTGTCTCTCTCTGTTTACTCCCCACAGGGCATGCACACAGCATGGGCTTTGGAGCCAGACAGCCTGGGTTTGAATTCCAGCTCCTTACTATGGAAAGCCCGTAAAACCCGTCACCTTCCAGAGTCCCAGTTTGCCAATCTCTAGAAAGAGGAGGATGATGAGGCACCTAGGTGGCTCAATCCGTTAGCTTCCAACCTCGGCTCAGGTCATGATCTCATGGTTTGTGAGTTCGAGCCCCACGTTGGGCTCTGAGCTGACAACTCAGAGCCTGGAGCCTGCTTTGGATTCTGTCTCCCTCTCTCTGATTCTTTCTCTCTGCCCCTCCCCTGCTTGCGCTCTTTCTCTCTCTCAAAAATAAATTAATAAACATTAGAGAAAAAAAAAGAGGAGAATATACACTCAACTCTTGAACAACACAATTTCATATTGTGCAAGTTTTTTTCTGATAAATACAATACATATACACACACACACACACACACACACACACACACATATATTGGAGGCTGGTGGTAAAGGCTAGAGCTGATGGGAAGAAGGGCTCAGTACAGCTCCTGGCACACACCCTGTGCCCACCACCAGGAGCTCAGCCTACAGGGGACACATTACGTATGTGATGGAGGCAGAGGGAGCAGATTCCCCCATTGCTTTTCTATATGCTTAGCCCATGGGGTCCCTCTCACAGAGAGACTGTCCTTCCAGCAAGGCTGTACTGAAGTCTGCATCTGCCCAGCCCGGCAGGGAGATCAAGGGTGGAGGTAACCGCTAGACTAGTCTTCCATGCACTTTGGGATCTGCTTTGGCCTAGTTTTGTGAGAGCTGGGTTATCTAATATGAGCTCCCTCAAACTACCTCCTTTGCAACTTCTGTATATACAGCATATCTCCCTTTTCTTTTTTCCCTCGAGGGAAAAAAAAACATACACAGACCCAGTTTTAAGCCTCGGACACTCCCTAGCTGTGGGATTCAGGACAGGTACTAACTTCTCCTCAAGCTGTTTTCTTGTTTGGAAAATGGAGATAACCACACCCCCTCACAGAAGTTTGGGGACAAACAAACAAGGGACTGATGTAAATCACCTGCCAAATACAGGCCTCCAGTGATGGCTGGCTGTCTCTTAGAAGTGTTCCCACCCTTCCAGGGCTCCTGACTTTGTCTGTGACATCCACTAGACACTGGTCCCTTCTTTCTTTGCTGTCTCCCCTTTCCCTCCTCTGCCCCCTGCCCCTTCAGCCCAAACCTCAAGGTATCATCCTCTTTCCCTCCCTTTCCCTTGGCAACAAATTTCTTTCTTTCCTTTTTAAACTTTTACTTATTAAATAATCTCTACCCCCAACATGGGGACTGAACTCACAACCCTGAGATCGAGAGCCGCATGCTCTACTAAGCTACTGGTCTAGTAGCCTCTCTTGGCAACAAATTTTTCTTTCTTTCTTTCTTTCTTTCTTTCTTTCTTTCTTTCTTTCTTAAGCAAATTTCTTGACAGAGGAATCTCATACTGATACAGCCTCCACTCCCTCACCACCAGCACGCTCCACGATCCCCTGCAACTTGGGGTCCCGGCCTGCCTGCTCCTGCTTCAGCACCCTCTTCTCGCCTGCTTGCCAAGGCTGCAGCTTGTCTGGGGTTCTTCTTTCTCCTTCTTTCCACTCTTTCCTCCTCCCTGAAACTCCCTTCTCCCAGGGCTTCCAGGGACCAGGACCTCCTGGATATCTTGCTGCCCTTTAATGATCCACACTGCCTCTTTTGTCAGCCCCCAAGTCTTTCCTGCCCCTTCACCTGTCTCTCTTATCAATTCCCACAGCCTCAGTCTTCCCAGCCAGGCAATGGCAGAGGGGAAGAGAGCTCCAACTCAGGAGAATGCAGCCATATTCTCCCACAGCACCTTGCTGTGCTTTACCCTGACAGCATACCATGTGGTTTAATTTCCATGCCAACCCTGTGACACAGGCAGAGGCGGTATCATCCCCCTTCTAATACATACAGAACTGAGTCTCGGCCAGGCAGGTAATGTGACCCCCAGTAAGTGGTGGGGCTTCCTTTGAGTACAGTGCTCTTTACCTGCATATCAGGAGTCTGCAGCCCAGGGGGCCGGGACACCATCTGTCTAGCCCTGTTCCCTCCCCAGAGCACCTGATGGGATGGGATCCCAGCACGTCCCTCAGATGCCCTCCTTTCCCAGTCACCTGTCCAGCAGCTCCCAGTCTTCCCCACCCCAGCGATCTCGGAACTCCTTGGTGTTCATGCCCCCGATTCTGTCCAGGTCTGACTTGTAGATGCCGAGCAGTCCAAACCCATTCACCTCCCAGTAGCCTGTGGACAGACGAGAATCCCCCGGTGAGATGAGCCAGGGGCCAGGAGGAAGCAATGAAGGCTTCTGGGCTGCATTCCCAGAGCCTTCTCTGAAAGACAGAGGATGGGGTGCCTGAGGTTGAAAGCTGTCTCGTTTGAACAAGTCCCTTGCCTGTTCTGGGGGGAAGCCCCCCGACGCTAACGTTCAGGGGCCAATGGAAGCAGCGGTCCTAAAAGGGAAGGACCATGGGCTCTACAACAGGATCTGACAGCAGCAGTCACTGGAGGCACAGCCCAGTGCACCTTCCTTATTTGTTTCCCTCTCCAGAGGCAGGGAGCCTGTCTTTCCATTTTTTTTCCATCTGCACAGGGCATAGAATCTGGCACACAGTAAACGTCTGGTGAAGGGAGAAAGGAAGATGGGGAGGAAATGTTCATCGTTGCCGCTGCTGTGGCCATGAGCACAGCCCTCAGGCACCTCTCTGGTGGACCATCCAATGGGCAGAAGCAGCAGGCAGGGGGTGGGGATGCTGTCATGGCAGACGTGGTTGTTTCCAGCTCTGGGATGAAGAACCAAGGCCAGAGAGGACTTTCCTACCCTCCCCAGCCCAGGGCAGAGCTCACCCTCAGGCCACTGGGGGGTGGCCCCGCAGTGCAGCCTCATCACCATGGGGGCAAAGGCCATCTTGCCCTCTACACAGTGCTTCCGGATGGTATCGATGATTCCAGCTGGGAAGTGGATGTGGAGGTCACATAGGAAGATGATGCTGTGTGGGTCCTGGGGACAAATTGGGGAGGGTCAGTAGACCCTGCGGACCAGGGCTCAGAGGTCAGGCCACTCCCTAGAATGATCCTTAGGTCCTTCCCATTTGAATAATGGACAAACTTCCATAATACAAACTGTTGGGCAGATTTCCATAGTACTGGGCACCAGAGTGCAATTCTCAGAGTCAGAGAATGAGTTCTGATGCCTTCCCTACACAATGTATGAACTGCAAGAACTCAGGACAAATGCTCCAGTGTCATTTGTTCAGTCCCACCCTGGCACTGGCCCTGCCCCATAGCAGAGTGGAACGTCCGTGTCCTCATTCCCTCCCGCTGTGAGGAGCTGACCACCGCACATATCCCAAATGTCTCCTCCTCTTAACCAATCTGTAACCACGTCTCCAGAGCCCCTCCCAGGTTATTACCTTCACCAGGTCTATGCCAGCCTGAAGCCCAGCTGAACGCTCAAAGTTTCCACTTAGCTTCATGTACTGGTAGCTGCAGGGAGAAGAGAGGAGGGAAGGGCAGAGTATCAGGGCTCAGCAGCGATGGTCCCTGGAGGAAGCCAGCAGGCATGGAGGAGGGATGATGCGTGCTCCTGAGATGGGATTATGGGCAGGTGAGTCCTCTGGAGAAAGCCAGAGACTGGGACTCAGGAAAGCCAGGTGGGACTTTGGGCTCTGCCTAGGACCCAGCAGTCCTGAGACTTCAGAAAGCAGGTGGCTAAGGCCGTGTGCTGGCCAGGGAACCTCCTCACCTCCGCAGCTTGGACCTCTTTAGGGCCATCTCGACGTCCATGTCCTCACTGCTATAGTCCGTGATGATGATATTGAAGTGTGGGTCACCGGTGACCTGGAACAGCTTTTCCATGTCTCCAATGAATTGCTGTACCCAGCGCGCCTGGTTCTTTACTGCCATAGTGGGCAACAGAGAGAAAGAAGTGATAATGCAAAGAAAGGCATCCCCACTGCCAGCTCCTACATGAGTCAGGACCCTATCGGGACCTCCGCTTAGGGGTAATACAACTATGGAAACCACCAGCAATGCTGCAGGGAGGCGGAAGGCGGAGGGAGAGCTCACCGGTGAAAGGGGGCTCTATACCCTGCTGCCTACAGAGCCTCCAGGCAGGGCCCCATGGGAAAGCCTTGGACGGGGCTTGTCCTCAGCTCTCCTAGTCACCCCATCATGCTGTCTCACTGTTATCTGCCCATCCTATTATCACCCTAGCCCACAGTTGCACATGTCTGTTACGTGCTCCCCTTTTCCACTATAAAAACCAGGTAACCCCCTCTATGTCTTATTCCCCAGAGTAGTTGCAAACCCCAGTACAACAATCTGGCCATGACTGCACCCAACCCCGAAACCTGTTATAATAGGAGAGCAACTGCCCGAGAGTCAGCATCTTTTCCAACGCCAACACTCAGTCATGTGATCTTGGGTCCTCAACCGTAAGGTGGCCTCTCCCACAGGTTCTTATGAGATCAAATCAGTGAGCAGAGACCTGGGTGGCTCACGGTTACTTTTAGGATCCCCACTCTGCTGATAATGGCCGGGCTCAGCTTGAGGCTCACCAGGCACAACGAAGTGGACCACGGCTCGGTGATTCCAGGAGAAGCCCTGGGGCCAACACAGCTTGGGCTCTGGGGCCCGGACATTCAAGACATGTCTCCGGCGGTTGTGTGAGCCCCAAACCAGGCCCTGCAGGTTCCGGGCCTCGACCTCTTCCCCACCAGCTGGATCGATGCCCTGCCAGCCTCGTGTAGACACATACTCGGAGAGCCGCACTGGGCGCTGGCCTTGTTCCAGCAGCTCAAGCTCCAGGAGGTAGCGACCTCCACGTAGCTGGTCCTGGCGCTTCTCCACGTTCACAATTCGCTGCAGCTGGTACTTCCTGTGGCAGAAAGGGCGGGCAGCTTGAGTAATTCCTTCCCCTACTGTGGGGGTAACATGGTGTGGTAGAAGCCTGTAAGGAGGTCAGGAGACCCTGGTTTTTGTCCTGGCGATGCCTTTGGCTAAGATGCTTATACCAGGGGGTGCCAGTAGAGCATGCAACTTGATCTCAGGGTCATGAGTTCAAGGCCCAGGCTGGGTGTAGAACTTAAGAAATAAGAAAAGAAAGAAAGAGAGGGACAGAGAGAAAGAAAGAACAAACTTACACCAGATGCTTAATCTCTAGTGTTCACTGCCTCCATCTTTAAAAATGTACCTAATTGACCTTGGATGATCTCTAAAGTCTGTTATACCTCTAAGATCCTAAGTATGTAAGGTGAATGTGTGTCCTTCAGAAACTGACCCTCATTAATAAAATACTCTGCTCAGAGTACATAAGACATATGGATTATCAGATAAATGTTGATTGGTTGGCTCAATATCATTAGTCACTAGGGAAATGCAAATCCAAACCATAAAGCGATACCATTTCACACACTTTAGGATTGTTAATGAATTAATTTCTTAATTAAAATGTTTAGTTTTGAAAGAGAGTGAGAGAGACAGAGAGTGAGCAGGGGAGGGGCAGAGAGAGACGGAGACACAGAATCCAAATCAGGCTACAGGCTCTGAGCTGTCAGCATAGAGCCTGAGGCGGGGCTCAAACTCACAAACTGTGAGATTATGACCTGGGCCAAAGTTGGATACTTAACCGACTGAGCCACACAGTCGCCCCTATTTATTTATTTTGAGAGAGACAGAGCACACAAGCAGGGGAGGGACAGAGAGAGAAGGAGAGAGAAGGAGAGAGAGAGAGAGAGAGAGAGAGAGAGAGAGAGAGAATGGCAAAGCCTAATGCGTGGCTCAATCCCACAAACCGTGAGACCAACACATGAGCCAAGATCAAGAGTCGGTGACTCAACCGACTGAGCTACCCAGGCGCCCCCCACCTCAATGGCTATTTTAAAGAAAGGAAGATAACAAGCGTTGACAAAGATGTAGAGAAATTGAAACCACTGATGGGAATGAAAAATGGTGCAGCTGATTTGGAAAAGAGATTGGCAGTTTCTCAAAATGTTAAACAGAGTTACTGTAAAAGTCAGCAGTTCTACTCCTAGGTATATCCCCAAGAGAACTGAAAACATGCTGACACAAAAATTTGCCCACCAATGTATTCATAATAGTCCCACAGTGGAAGCAACCGAAATGTCAATCAACTGACAAATGGACACACAATCCATGGCATAGTCACGCAGCAGAATATTATGCAGCTGTACAAAAGAATGAAGTACTCAATACATTCTACAATATGAATAAGCTAAGTGCAAGAAACCAGAAACAAAAGGCCACATATTACACAGTTCCATTTACATGAAATGACTATTATAGGTAAATCTGTAGCAGAAGAGAGTCGAGTAGTGGTTGCCAGGGACTGAGAGGAGGGAGAAACGGAAGTCATGCTAACAGGTACAGAGTGTCTTTTACAAGGGATGAAAATGATAGGAATCATAGTGGTGATGGTTGCATAGCATTATGAACATACCTAAAAACCACCAAATTGTACACTCTAAAACTACACTGTAAAACGGTACATTAAATAGTACGTGAATTCTATCTCAATTAAAAGAATGCTGATTGGTTAAATGAACGAATGAACAAACAAAGAAGTAAGGCCATGCTTGCTGCCCTAGCCCTTGTAGCCCATACCTGGGGTCTTGTCTCTTTTAGCCTCAGTTTTGCCTGATGGTGGGACAAAGACCTGACGGGTACACCTCATTCTCAGGGACGGGGGGGTCCCAGGTGCTTGATCTTCCATGGAGCCTGCCGCAGGGGACCATGCTACAGCCCCCAGGTCCCTGCCCCCAGGCCAGCTGGCTGCGCGAGCCCCAGCCCCGGTCCCAGAAGAGCCCTTTACCTTACCCCCGGCTCCTCTGGTTGAGCTTCTTCAGGAAGACGCGTGTGACCTCGAGAGCCTCCTGCTCTGGAAGCAGCAAGTTGCCAGATGTGTTACAGTTCAGATCGATCCAGTCAGTCCGCAGGGCTTGGAAGTCCAGGTTCCGAGCACTGAAGGTCTGGTCCCAGCTTACCACGGGGTCAAACATGGGCATGTATTCGAACACCTCACTCACATCCTCTTCCTCTTCCTCTTCCTCCCCCTCTTCTTCTCCCTCCGCCTGTCCTTCCTGGCCTGCAGCTACCACCACCTCTCCCTCCCCGGGCCAATCCCTCCTGGGGGCTGGAAGCTCCATCCTGTCCCCCCTTCTCTGCTCTGCAATGTATGTCTCAACTTGATTCAGCCACTGGGATTGTCCTAGCGTCTTCCTGGGGCTGTCACCAGTGGGCCTGGGCCCCTTGACTTGAGGCAGGTTCCCTGCCAGATGCCCCGGAGGCCACTTCTCAGAGGGAGGGGGATCTTGGCTGGGCCCAGGGCTGGGTCTTCTCCCCTGATTCTCTGGGGGTTGGACTGGGACATCACTGGTCCTCACAGGGAAGGGAGCTGTGGAGTTCCTCTTGGAAAAGGGTGTCAGTGGACCCTCCCAGGGCTGAGCCAGGAGTTTCCGCAGGCTTCGGAGGCGGTAGTCAGTGACATCCTGCCCAGGGGTAAAGGTGGGCACTGGTTTTCCCTCTGGCATCCTGGCATTCTGGTCATTGGAGTCAAGGGTCTCCTCCACTGCTTCTCCATATTGGGATTCTTCTAGAAGGCCTTCCTTGAAACCTGTCGTTAATAACAACCATTCCCCACATTGGAGTTGCTAACCTTTCCCAAACGAGATATACAAGATAGCTATTGATCATCTGTATAACACACCAAGGAGTTTCAGATGGGGACGGCATCTGGGCTCTGCTATTCACTCACTTATTTATTGTGTGACCTGGGGTGAGTTACTAACCTCAACTAACTCATTTCTTCCTTCATGTAAAGGGAATAATAGCCCATCTTCCATAGGGTTGTTATGAAAATGGAGTGACATAAAATACACAAAGTGCCTAGCAGGTGCCTGACACTTGTAGGACCCAACAAATGGCCCTGGATGTGCCCTAATCCCTCAGGAAGGAGGGCCACAGAGAGACAGTGCTTCTCGATAGCAGACTTCTCCAGTGAGGTGCCAGGGACAGCGATGCCCTCAAGCAGTCCAAGGAATCTCCTCCAGGGCTCTAAATCTCCTGATTTAGACTGCAGGTGTTAACTGCAGCATGCTGCAGCTGACTGCAGCATGCTGTTAAAAACAGTGTCATTTTCTACCGGTATGGAGAAGGTAGGAGTACCACTCTCTACTCCTTTGGGTTGGATGAGGGGCTGTGTGGTTTGGATTTTAAGCTCCTCAGGGGCAGGGCTGGCATGGTCTGAACTTCCCCTAGAAGCAGACCATGGTCACCCCTCCCGACCTGACCTGGAAGCCTCAGCTGTCACTCTGTACCTGGCTGCTCCGGCTTCTGCTTCTCAGGCTGGTCCATCTTGATGTACTCCTGAAAGCTGAACCTGTAGGAGGAAGGCAGAGGTAGACTGGCCCCCGGTGCCCTGCAGGCTCGTGAGTGAGGCTCTGCCTGAAGCCCCCACAGCAATATGGAGTCATGCCGGGGACTAGGGTGCAGGAAGAAGCCTGGGCAAGAGAGTGTGTGTGTGTGTGTGTGTGTGAGTGTGTGGCGCGCCCAGGAAGGGCCAAGTCTCCTTGGCCTGGAAGAACATTTGTGTCCCCTCTGGTCCATGAAGCTCTACTGGCTTTTGCAGAACCCATCCATAAGGTCATTTCCTTACTCCATTCAGTGTCACTCACCTGTCCTGGTAGTATGAGTTTTCCTGGTAGAAGCATTTATTGTGGGTCTCCATGTGGCTCAAGCGGGTGTAGTCATTGGGGTAAACGAAGGACAGATGAACCTGGAGGCAGAGAAAGAAGCAGCAGGAATAAGAGCCCAGGATCCTGGTAAGAAATCAGCTAACCAGGGTTAAGCCTGCCCCTGGCCAGGACCACCTAGGGCTCCTAGGGACTGGCGAGGGGAAGACGGGCTGCTCTGAGCTCTGAATTTGTTATGCAGACCGGGATTCCATTCCACTCTTTAGGCCTCCTCTCCTGGGCTCTCTGGACCAAGCATAAGCCCCAATTCAAGCTTCCTGGTGCACACATACCTCATCTCCTATCTCAGCTCCTTCTCCCCAGCTACAGCCAGGACCATCCTCTCCTCCTTCTGCCATCTTATCCTCTCCTACAACCTCTAACCTTTACCTGCAACGTCCCACAGTCCCCTTTTGTCATTCATTCCATTGCTTTCGGCCCTCTTAAATAGCTTAAGGCAATGTCACCCACAAACATCTCAGTTCAACCCCACTCATTCTCTGACCTTGGGGAGGACTTCTAATCATCTCTAGATCTGGATAAGTAGTGTGCATTCTGCCTCTACAGTTTCTACTAGGGCTACAGGCTCTCTAGAGCTAACCTCCCATCCACAGTTCACTTTCCCCCAGTGCCTTGTCTATGAGTTTATTAACTACTGCTGGCTCATAGCCCAGTAGGTCAGACCCGGGCAGGACTGTATGGCCCAAGGAGCAGAGAATATAGGAGGCATCGGGCCACCCCACCTCATGTCATCATCACTGTTGCCGAGTTGGTGTGGGGGCTTCCCAAGGCAGAGCCTTACAGGGTGGTCCTGTGGGTGAGAGAGGCAACCGGGAACGCAAGCGCTCCCAGCCCAGGGACCTGTGAGGACATCCCATCTGCTGCTATGTGGCATAGGGAGGAGGAAGAGTCAGCCCCGGCACCCCTCCATCTCAGCCACAGGCAGCAAGCCCTCTGGATCCTGCCCCCACTGGCCAGCCCCAAGACTTACAAAGCGGAGTCCCTGGTAGCGCTGCAGGGGGAGCCCATCCACCAGGTAGCTGGGTTTGTAGGGACAATCAGGCAGGACATGGCGGAGATGAGCCTTGGGAATCAGAGGCACTGAGGACAGTAAGGGAAGAGGGGTGAGGGTGGGGACGGGAGCCTGGAATGGGCTGGCTTAGAGCCAGGAAGGCACTCGGCTGAGGAGGAGGGCCGAAAGCCTCTGCTCTGAGAAAACACCTTTTTGTATTTGCTCGTGGCAGCAGTGGGCAGAGACCACATCCATCAGCTGAGGTTGCCAAACCAAGGCTGGCACCACTTTCTGGGGTGGGTGCATTCAAGGAGCACCTTGGAGGCCAAGGATTCAGACACGGTCCCTGGTTCAAGGTACAGCACAGTACTGGGACTGCTATACTGGGCTAACCTCACTAAAGGTTTAGAAACATCCAAGAGGCCAAAGTCTCACCCTAGTGTAGTGCCAATAACTGAATTTCCTCCCAGTTGTTATGGGACTTGGTCATCTTTAAAAATGTAAATTCTCCCAAGAGTTGACAACTCCAGCACCTCGGTGGGAACAGATTTCTCTCACTGGATTCAAAGAGCTGTGATCCCCTAAGAAACTATGACGTATGGAATTGTGGAGGCATGCACAGGGGATTTCTGGGCTCTGGTTCTATTTCCTGTCCTGGGAGGTGGTTACACAATGTCGGTTCTATAATGATTTGTATAATTATAAAATTGTACATATATATTTTTTGTGCTTCTCTGTACCCATGTTATATTTTACACTACATAAGGGGAAAAAATGACTCTTTGACTTTTGGGATACTGCGCTAGAAGTGACAAGTCTCCCAAGTTGCCTCCCACTAAACCTGGCAGAGTACCGTCCCCAGACTGGATGACAAGAATGCGGCCGAGGCCTTACCTCGATAGAGGGTGTCCCGAGGGTCCGGTCGCAGCATGTCTGCAAGGGGCTGCTCATCTCTAGGAAGAGAGTCTGGGGACCCTACATGGCTGGCTGCTGTCTGAGGGATGTGGCCCACGTCATCCATCTTTAGGACTGTCTCGTCTGGGCCCAGGGAGAAAAGAACAGAAAGCAGCTGTGAGTCCTGGGGCAAACCAAAGCCAGGCCCCTGCCCCTCTGAGGGGCTGAGTGCAGGCTTCTGTATCCCCCAGGGATAGTATGGGGTGTGCGCAATCCCTCTCCCTTGTTAGCCCTGCTCCCTCACAAGTTGTGGGTTCAGCTACTGATCTCCCTTAGAGCCACCCCACCAGCCCCATGGCTAGCACATACCACAGTGTATATGGGAAAAAGACAGCTTTCTGCTGGAAATTTGTCACTATAAGTATGCCTCATTTATTTAACAAATGCATCTATAGCATTTACTAAATAACAAAACAGGCACCGTTCTAAGCATCTTATAAATATCAAACCATTCAATCTTTATAAGCACCATAAGACTTATGTACTTCTTAATTATTCCTATTTTATAGACAAAGAACTTTGGGAAAGAGAATCTAAAGCATTTGCCAGAGATCACACAACTGATTAAGTGGCAAAGCTGAATTTGAACGTAGGCTATGTCGTCCCTGCTGCAGACAGGTCAGCCATGCCCCCCACGGGCAGGGCGCCCCCCCACCCCCGCCCCCGGCATTCTGCACAGCTCGCTCATCATCTCCTGGTATTTTCTCTCTTTTGTTTTAATTTTGAGAGAAAGAGACAGACAGAGAATACACACAGGAGGGGCAGAAAATGAGGGAGAGAGAGACAATCCCAAGGAGGTTCCATGCTGTCAGCACAGAGCCCGACTAGGGGCTTGAACTCACAAAACCATGAGATCATGACCTGAGCCGAAACCAAGAGTCGGACGCTTAAATGACTGAGCCACCCAGGCCGTCCATCCTCCTGGTATTCTCATCTCCAAGTGGGCCAGGCTTACTCCTTCCCTTTTCTCACTGCCCTGGGGACGGGTTGCTTGTCCTTGCTCCCTGCCTCCTGGACTCATTTGTCTACAGCCCCAGGTAGAGCTCTCCTTCTGTACCCAAGGCTGGGTGCCTCTGGCTCATCTCACTAGTTTCTCCCCTAAACTTTGGTATGGGCCTCTTTCTTCTCATTTCACATTGCATCTATGGATTCTAGCTCTCCCTTCTTCCTCTTGCACCAATTCAGCAGCTCACAACCTGCCCCTCTACCTTGACCTTGACCTTGTGGCCTCCTGCTTTACTCACCAGCAACCTCCTCCCACCTGCCTTGCCCATTCCATACTGCCTCCCCTCCCCCGCCCATCACCGTCTGGGAACCCAGGCCTCCCCGGCCTGTCCCCATCCTGCCCTCCTTCTCTCTCACACACTTCCCACTGCCTTCCCAGTCTCCTCCCAGCACTTGGCTTGTCCTTCTCCCCTTAGGGTTCTGGCCCTGCCTGCTCTTCCTACACCCAGGCCCAGTGATTTCTCAGTGGGGCCTGCAGATAGGAGTCTTGCTGAGGAAATCATGAACAATTCACAGTACAACTGAAGAGTCATTTACTGTGAATTTAAAGCAGGTGAGAAAGTTTCTTTAGCTCTGGTCATGGCTTTGCAAAGAACCGTGGTTCCCTCATCTGTGAAATAGGAAACTGTCTCAGAGGTTTCTCATCTGGAGTGAGCCTCATGGTCTCTGGATGCCCTTGAAATCATACACAAAATATTGTGCATGGATGGGTAAGGGCATTTTTCGGGGTGAGGTCGCAGAGAGCTTCCAGCAGGTTCTCAGATTCCCTGACCCCTGAGAGTTAAGGACCTCTGACCTTAGGGTCCCTTTAAGCTCTGTTCCTTGTTCTGAGCCCCCTTCACACCCACATTCCAAGCATCTTGAGCTTTAGTCTGCACCCCTCCCCTGACCGAAGCCCCCTGTGGACTGAGCCCCACGTGTTGGTGCCAGCTCGCCTCTGTGTCCAGGCGAGGAGCAGAGCCTACTCACTTGTGAAGAGAGACAGGGAAGGGGAGTCAATAATGCTGAACTTGGCTCCAGGGTCATTCCGTCGCCACTGGAAGAGGAGAGAGGGCAGATGCAGAGGGCTGGAGGTAGCTGGATTTCGGAAAGGGTTCAAGGGACAAGGGGAGAGGAGTGGCTCAGAGCTGAGCTAGGAGGGCAGGAGCGGCGGAGCCCTCACCGCGACTTCCACATGATCGGTGCCCTCGTCATTCTGCTTGTGCAGCACCTCGAAGTAGTACCTCTGGGAGGCTGCCAGGCTGGCAGGAGAGAGCAGAGAAACAAAAGGCTATCTTCTCAGGCCGTGTTGTCACCCCTCTGACCCACTCTTCTGCCGTACCAACACCAGCTCCCACCTTGCTCCCGCCACCCCCCCCCCCCCCCCCCATATCTTCTCCTTGTCTTCTCTTTGTTCACAGAATCCCAGGAGCTTTGCTTTTAATGCTGCCCTGGAGTCCCCACCCTACTGCTTACCCACAGTGTGACCTTACTTTTCTCTTCTCTAAGATGGCGGTAATAACAGTACATACTTCACAGGATAATCATGAGAATCAAAGGACATAGACATCTCCCTCAACTTATGATAGGGTTACATCCTAATAAACCCATTGTAAGTTGAAAATATTGGAAGTCAAAAATGAATTTAATACACCTAACCTACCGAACAATATAGCCCACCTTGAACACACTCAGAACACTTGCATTAGCCTACAGTTGGGCAAGATCATCTGACACAAAGCCTATTTATAATGAAGTGCTGAATATCCCATGTAAGTTACTGAATGGAAGTAAAAAACAGCATGGCTGTAAGGGTTCAGGTTATGCGTGTATTTGTTGTTGACCCTGCGAACACATGGCTGACTGGGAGCTGAGGCTCACAGCCACTGCCCAGCATCACAAGACACTGCTGTGCCCTGTATCACTAGCCCGAATAAAGACCCAAATTCAAAATCTGTAGTACCGTGTCCACTGAACACATATCACTTCTGCAACATCGTAAAGTTGAACAAACGTAGGTCTGGCCATCTGTAATAATAGAGTTGATACTGTGTGCTAGACACGTTCTAAGTGCTTCATGTATACTAACTCACTTAATTCTTGTTTACAGATGAGAACACTGAGGCACAGAAACGTTGGGTAATTGCCAAAAGTCACTGAGGTGGTAAGTGGTGGAACTGGGATTTGGACTCAGGCAGTCTTGCTTTGGGGTCCATGATGCTAGCTGCTTCACTCAGTTACATGTAAAGTGCTCACCACAGAGACTGGCACATAGCAAGCACTCTTGGCAAGCTAGACTGTCTTACTGTTATCAGCCTCGCTATTATCACCGTCAAGCCCATTCGTGTTCTCGCCTGTGTGGGCAGGCCACCAGGTGGCACTGTGAAGTTGGGCTAAGTCCCCCTGCCGGCATGTTAAAGCAATTCCAGCCACTACAGCTGGGAAAGGCCTTGTTTCCCTCCAGTCTACCAAGGGATCACTGTGACGAGGAACTTTCTGCAGCACAGGCAGAGCAGCTGGTGTCCAGGCTGTACCGCTGCGGACATTCCCAGGGATGGAGCAAAAGGGAAGGTCAAGGACTGGGAGAAGAGAGACCTATTTTGTTTTCTAGTCCTGAGTGTCACTAGATAGCTGTGTGACTTTCATTAAGTGACACCCCTCTCAGAGCTTCAGTTTCCCCATCTGTAAAATGAGGAAGGATGGACCAAATGGCTTCTCAGTCAAAGACTTCATCTATCAGAACGCAGGAGTGCCTGGGCACACTGAACTCTGGAATAAGGAAGGCTGGATAGTGGGAGGGGGTGACTGGGCTCCTTGACTCTGATTTGGCCTCAGCGCTTGAGGTAGGCTGGGTTTTTTTTCTCCTGCTCACAGGAACGTCATGAGACTCCCTACTCACCTCACTGGCTTGGAAATTTGACTCCGAAATTTCCCAAACTCTCCAGGGGCAGTCCACTCTTTTCCAGTCTAGAGGTGTGGGGAGAGTGGAAAGAGAAGGAAGGAAGAAGACGAAAAATATGAAGAAAGGGAGGCAGTGAGTGAAGAGACAAGGAAGGAATGGGGAGAAAGTAGACAGGAGAGGAAAGAAGGGGGGCGAGGGGAGAGAAAACAGGAGAGGTAAGGGAAGTGACAGATGACACGGGCAAAAGCACCTCCACCCTTCCTAGAGGGTCCAGAGCAATCAGGCCCCAGGTGTGCCTCCTTGTCACCATGCTAAGGATGCTGGAACCCAGCAGGGGGTAGCCTAGTCCCTGCCGAGAGATGAATCTTCCTGAGGACTTTCTGTGGCCCCAGACTAACTCCTTACTCCTCCCCAGTTTACACCTCAGTTTATCCCTTTGTAAAATGGGGCAGCGGTGAGAGGGAAGAGGCTTCCTTCCCACACCTTCTTCCCTGGCTGTCACACCAGAAAGACTAATGGTAATGAGGGTTTCCTGATGCAGGCAGGTGTCTCTTCCATGACCTGGCTCCTGGGCCCAATGGGAGAGCTCTGGGGCTGGGCTGACCCTACCTTGCCCACACTGGCTAGCAGCTGAAGGCCTGACACCTGGTCGTCACGGCTGAGCCAGAACTCTGCGTTGTCATCTGCAGCAATGGCAAACTGGATCTTCCCTGGGCAGTGGGGGAGAGAGTTCCAGATGAGAGCAAGAAGGGCATTGGCATAAAGGCCTGAAAGCCTATTTTATGTCTTAGCGATTACATTCTCTTCAGGGGACTTGAAGTGGGGGTTCCTCATCCTAGGAGACCCCATGAGGATGGAGAAGACTCACAGGGAGAGACAAGCTATTCTAGACTCTACAAATTAGGGAGACAAGTGGCAACTGGATGATACCTCATGGGGACTAAATTCCCCCCCTCTCCCCAGTGATAAGACTAACAGGGTCCAGGCAGCCTAGTGTGGACTTACTTCTCAGCTACAGACTTATGTTCTCTGGGTACCATAAAGAACCTGGGGCAGGGAGCAGGAGGAGGGGACTTTGGGGCTGGCCTCACCATCGGTGAAGGGGTGCAGGTAGCCAAAGATGCGAAGGCCATAGTTGGTCCATTTGGGGGACACAGCCAGCTTCCTCAGGGTTGTGCGAATCTATACCAAGAAAGGGGCGGGGGGGGGAACTGTTACTTAGATGAGAGAAGAGGAAACTGAAGAAATCGGGCCACTCAGGGCTGGTGGGAAGACCAGAAGGGAAGGAGACAGGAGGTACTGGAGTGTGACTTGGTGAGTAGAGTATAGGCAAGATTTCCACTCCTACTTGCTTCTTTGAGCATGTGACCTTGTACAGTGCACAACCAGCCCAACTGTATGCGGTAGCTCTGGCTAAACCACATCACAGCCATAACGAGAGCCTAAAGCTGAAAAGATGCAGAAGATGGCAGAGAGAAATCAAAGGAATCCGTGGGATGAGAGCAAGGGTAATAACTGGACAGGAGAAAAGAGGACCCAAGATATAAAGGAAAGAAAGTGAACCAGAAAAGAAGCCAGGAAAGATGGAGACAGAAGGTAGGGGGAGATGAGAGACAGAAGCGGGGCAGAGGGAGGGGAGAGGAGAAGGGTGTGGAGGGAGGGAAAAGAGGCACATCCAGCAAACACTCACATGGGGGTACAGTGGGAAGTGAAGGTTCCTCCTGAGCTGCTGAATAGAACTGCCACACCAGTCTTCAAACACATGCAGGTTGGCGCGGCCCTGGAACTGTATGGGGCAGAGAAGCAAGCGGGTGAGTGTGAGCACCCCCAAACCCGTCTGGCTCTGCAGCTTGAGGAGGCACTAGCCACCACAGCCCCAGCCTGTTTTCCTCTCACTACTGAAGGTCACGGTCCATTTCAGTTCCATCCCATCCTCGACCCTGCAGCTTCTTTCTCGAACCTCCATCCCCATTGCCTAGCCCTGAGGCCTGGGTCTGTTTTTCTGGCCATGCTTGTGGCCACACACACACACACACAGTCCCAGCTCTTTCCATGCAGGAAGGGGGCTGGTTTGTATTCCCCAGGCAAGGGGGAGTAATAGCCATGACAGAAAGGCATAGATGACAGAAAGAACTGGAAGGAGGCGCCAAGCTGGGGTTTCAGCTAAAGACTTGCTCTCCTCCCCTCCCCTTTCCCTTCTGCCTAATAGTAAGCTCCACAGCTGTCTGCTGGTGAAACCTTATCTACCCAGTAGTCTTCACGCTTCTGGCTCCCCTTGTGGGGAAGCAGCTGGGAAAACGCTGCAGGAGGTCTTTGGGGGCCCCATCCGGCAGGACGCCTCTGCCTCCAACTGCTCCCTCAGGAGCTGGAAGCCTCTCGCCCTGCCCAGCCTCTCCTGGCATAACTACCCGGATGCCCGGACCTGGGCAGCCCTGGAAAGGTAGGAGCAGAGGATGTATGCTCTCTCCTCCTTGGCAGTGGCATAGGTGGAGGGGTAGAGATTGGGCCTGGAGGCCAGCAGCAGAGGGCCCCCTTCAGAAGAGAGGGCCTTAGAGCCAGTGCTCTGAGTGGGTGGAAGAAGGGCTGGGAGTTTGAGTGGGGAGGGGAAGCATGGGGATCATGTCCCAATTTATCCTGACAAAGAGTTTCAGATTACCCCATCTCAGCAATTTTCTCCTCCCCCTCCCCCAGAACTTAATCTCCAGGTTGTGGGAGGTGGGGCCTCAATTACTCTACACAAACAGGCCCTGCCCTTCCCTCCCCACTGTGGCCCATCAGATATCAAAATCTGAGCTGCCCTTAGGAAAACAGAGGAGGAAGGGACACCCAGACTGGAAGCCAGATAAAAGGAAGTGGCACATGGTCTTCGGCAAGCGATCTGGAGGGAGGGATGGTGGGGGGAGAACTCCTGCATGCCAATGCCAAAGATCTGAGGTGCGGGCTCTGAGGAAACGCTACTCCACAGCCAGACCCAGAAGGGACCCAAGAGAGCTCCCTGTCCGGTCAGCAGCCTGGCCCTTCCCGGGCACACTGGCCTGGTCAAAGCCAGGAGTGCAGGGCCTTGGGAAGCAGCCATCACTCCGGGGAATAGGAGTGGGGGGCTGGGATGGGTGGGAGAGAGAATGTGGGCTGGGTAGGTGGGGGGCGGGTTAAGGCTTCTTGGAAGGAAAGAATGAGGACATTGTGCTACTTCTGGGGAAATTCCTTAAGTCCAGTTTACAAGACTCAGTTGTCTCCTACCAATGACCTCCTCTTGGCCCCTCCCTGGGAGACTTTCAGGGCAGCGTGCTCAGACCCACAGCAAACTGCAGAGGGAGGGCATGCCACCAGAGTAATCTGTTGTGCTCAGCCAGGGGCCAGAGGCCACAGGAGGATTGGGCAGGGGAAGGAGGGAAGGAGGGGAAAAGGAAGGATTTGGGCTGGCCACCGCCACCCTCCCCCAGGGCCTTGGCTTGCAGTACAGCAAAGTAGCCTGGGATGCTGCAGGCAATGGAAGGTGGGGCAGGTGGGGGTGTAGGAAGAGGACTGGACCTCTCCCTGAGGTCTAGGCCCTCACTCAGCATGAAGGCTGCCCTCAAGCCCTGCTTCACCCACTCTCAGGCTGTAGGTGGGGGCCTCTGAGGGACCAGTGGGCACCATCTTTCTCCCCGGGCCCAGCCTGGCAACCCCAGGATTTGTGTCTCTCCGAGTTTTGGAGACTTTGTATCTGGCAGGGATGAGGGACTCCAGCTCATCAGCACTGCCCTTTGCCCACTCTCTCCACTCTCCAGCAGGGGCTTAGGCCCAGGGAAGGACACTGGTTACCCTCGATCACCACAGTGTGTCCACAGCTAATGACGGATTCAGAACTTCCAGTTAGAAGCAGTTGAAGAAAATATTTGTTGGAACCTTCTTGTTTTAGAGGTGAGAATATTGAGGCCACACGAGGTAAACTGACTCCCCCCAAACACACAGCAATTAGCCCTGTGGAAGTGGGGAGGGCGTCTGGGGGTATGGATGCAGGAGGGTAAGGCCAGCCTGCTGGGCCCTCCCACAGACACGTCTGCTGTCTTCCGTTCCCACAACACTGCCTCTGCCAGGCCTCACTGGGCTTGCCAGGCCTGCAGCAGAGCCTCCTAATGGGATGGAAGCTTCTCTCCCTCTGATTCTGCACACTGCCTGCATGACTGTCTTTCTAGAGCACAGATCTGATCATGTCACTCCAGTGCTTCAAACCTCAGAAGGTTCCCAAAAGGCTCCAGAACAGAACCTCACCCTGGCATGCGAGATCTTTCCCACTGACCTATCTTCCCAGCCTCACCTTAATCCACTCCCTGTCACACACCTACTTCCACCCACACCCAACTCCCCGTCTCTGCCATGCCCCTTCACCTCTCCATGTCTTTACAAATACTATTTCCTGGTTGGAAGGCCTTTTCCTATCTCCCCCACCTGGCAAACTCTGGCTCATCCTTCTCTGACTTTTTGAGGCAGAGTTAATAGCTTCCCTCCTGAGTGTTCCCAGAACATCTTAACTATTTGAATGAACAACTGCTTGGAGAAGCTAAGCCCAGAACCATATGCTCCCTCATTTATTCTGTAAGCAGTGAATGGCTGCTTTGCAGCAGTTAGAGATGAAAAGAGATGTGGTCCTCCAAGGAGAGAGATGTGTTAACAAATGGTGTCACCTGTGTCAGGGGCTATTACAGAGGTGTCAGAGGCACATGGCACGAAGGCAGGAGTGGTCACCTCTACCGCCAGGCGAGGCAGGAGCTGATCATGGATGTACACTCGAAATGGAGAAATAAAATGTGATACAGACACAATGCAATAATATTCAGCAATAAAAAGAAATGAAGTACTGATACATGCTACAGCACAGATGAGCTTGAAAATGTCACGCCAAGTAAAAGAAGCCAGACATAAATGGTCACATCACATGATTCCATGTATATGAAATGTCCAGAACAGGCAAACATAGAGAGACAGAAAGTAAATTCTTGTTCACCTAGTTCTGGATGGGGTGAGGGTGGTGAGGGGTGATGGTTAACAGGTATGGAGTTTCTTTCTGTGGTAATGAAAATGCTCTAAATTGATAGTGATGGACGATGCATAGTGATGCGCTCTATGAATATACTAAAATCTATTGAATTACACAACTTCAAATGGGTGAATTACATGGTATTTAATTTGTATGTCAATAAAACTTACAAAAACAAAAAAAGTAAGCCTGAGAAGAGGATTCTGGGTCTCTGCCCTCTCCTCAAGAGACACCACCTCACCAAAGCCAGCATGGCATGACCCCAGGAAAAACACTAACTTCCTTTGATCTTATTTTGTATTCACCAAATTTCTTTCTTGTAACTATTTTGGTTTACCAGATGGAGCATCTTGAGTATCAGACAGTGTTTTGATCAATGGAACCATCTACTGATGTAAATGAATAAATTGGCATTGAGGTTTGTTCATTAGCGGGGTTTGTTAACTAGTCTTAGGATTCAGGTTGACATGAATAAGTTTTTGAGGGCAGTTACCCCGTGAAGCCCAGCCCCACACCGGCCACTCTGACGTTCTCTCTGACACACACCAAATAGAATGTCTAAGGCTGCTTTGCTTTCAAAAGTGACTTCTGGCCTCAGAGACCCTGTGCTGCTAGCTAAAGACTGGGGTGGGGAGACAAAGAGACCACCGTCAGCCTTGTTACACTCTGTCCTTGCTCACCTTCCGAGCAGGGCTGTGTCCTAGCGATGCCACGTTGAGTAAGTGAGTGAGTTAACCCCTCTCTGAGTCATTACTTGCAAAAGGCGGATAATAGTACAACCTGACAGCTCATGACAGCTATGACATATATTATCATTAACCTGAGCATTTCCTGCTGAAACCGTATGTCAAAAGGCAGGTGACAGGAAAGGAGATGGTAACAAAGAAGTCCCTGTGGTGAACTGGAAAAGAGCTGGAACCACTGTGCAGCTGTGTGACTAACTGCAGATGTTAGTTGTTGAACCTTTTCTTTTTTTGAGAGAAAGCAAGAGCAAGTGTGAGCTGGGGGTAGGGGCAGAGGGAGAGTGAGAGGGAATATTAAGCATGCTCCAAGCTCAGCATGGAACCTGATGTGGGGCTCGATCCCACAACTGTGAGATCATGCCCTGAGCAGAAATCAAGAGTTGGATGGCTTAAGCAACTGATTTACCCAGGTGCCCCAGTTACTTAACCCTTTTTTTTTTTTGAGGATTCTTTTTAAAGTTTATTTATTTTGACAGAGAGAGAGAACACACAAGCACACATGTGAGTGTGAGCGGGGGAGGGGCAGAGAGAGAGGGAGAGAGAGAATCCCCAGCAGGCTCCACACTGCCAGCACAGAGCCCAAAGTGGGGCTCGAACCCATGAACCATAAGATCATGGCCTAAGTGCAAATCAAGAGTTGGATGCTTAACTAACTGAGCTACCCAGGCGTCCTAGTTGTTTAACCTTTTAACAAAGGCCTTGTTTTCCTCGTTGGTAAAATAAGATGATTGGATCAGTGATTCCCTGAAAATTCATGAAAACTGTAATGAGGATTTTGCAAGGTAATTTTTTGTTTTGGTAAAGCTACTTTTAATATTAAAAAAAAAAAAAAAAAAAAAAAAAAAAAGTCCATGGACCTCTGGCATTTACCACCAAAAGGCCATACACTTAGTAAAAGATCAACTGTTTCTTTAAAAAGTTAATCCTAGGGGCACCTGGGCGGCTTAGTCAGTTGGGCGTCTAGCTTTTGATTTTGGCTCAGGTCATGGTCCCAGGGTCATGGGATCAAGCCCCACATCAGGCTCTGCACTGAGTGTGGAGCCTGCTTGAGATTCACTGTCTCTCTCTGTGCCCCTCTTTCCTGCTCATGCTCAATCTCTCTTTAAAATAAGAATATGGGGCGCCTGGGTGGCGCAGTCGGTTAAGCGTCTGAC